ACCACCTCCCAGCCGGTGGCAGATTCCGGCATGAATCGGCGCGGCAGCCCGGCCTGCCTCTCGCTCACGATGCGGGAAGGCGGCAGCACGCTACCCTCGAGCGGTGCGGAGCCCCGTGCCATGACGCCGGCGGAGGAGGAGCTTGAGAACGAGCGAGTATGGCAAGGGTAGGACGCCGGAAACGGAGAGTCAGAGCACAAGTGGCAAAGGCAAAGGGAAGAGTGACGAGAGGAAGGAAACAAATCCCTTCCTTGGTGTCTTAGTACCCTTGCCAACGCTATGCCCGGCTCCTCGATCCCCGCGCCCACTACCTCGCCCCCTCGTCTCTCGCGCCCACGCCTCCACTAATCCCGCTCGCCCGTTTGCGGCGCACGAGGCGGATGTGCGGCCGTGGCAGGCGAGATGGGACATATCGTGCGCGCGTTAACAACGCTCGCCGACCGATGCACCGTCATCACATCTCCAGGCGAAACGAACCGGCTCGTCCCGGTTCGCGCGCTACTTAAGTAATGTAGCGGTCTTGAAGAAAGCCGCTCATTATTGTCGGTCAGTTTTTCCTTGCCGATGTGCGCGATTTGCGACCGCTGGGTTTCTGCCGCCTGTAGAGACCGGCCCCACCTGTCACCAGGTCTAAGGAGTGGCGTCACGCCCGAGCGCTTCCCTCGAGGGGGGCGATCGCCCTGGCATAACGCCGGGGGCTACTGTCGGTGACATGGGACCGGGGGTATCTTAACTAGAGGTTTGGGGCAGCTGCAGTCACCCACGTGGCCTGACCCCCTCGGGGGGGGTCGGGCCCGAGGGTGATGTGGCCGCCCCTCCCTCTGTCTCCCCGAGGGGTCGGGCTGCTCCCGTTTCGGCCCCGAGGGCTGGGGCGCCCCGACCCCCTGTGGGTTTGGCGCCACGTGTGTGGGTTAGGTGAGCACAGCGGCGCTCACCTAACCGCGTTTATTGCGGGTTGGACGAGCGCCCCACGCCGCATTTAATGCAGCGCAGCACACTCGTTCGGTCCGTGACAGGTCACAGTGTGTGACCGGTCACAGACCGGTCAGATCGCGGGTTAGGTGGCAACAGGCGGCCTGACACACGCCTCGCCCCGTCCCGTCGGAATGATGAGAGCCTCCAGGCACTCGTCCCTAGCCGGAGCCGGCGTGGGAACTCCTGGAGTTGGCACGTCAGCCCCGGCCAGATACATTCCAGGCTTCATCGCAACCATTGCAAGGAAGTCATTGTATGAAGAAGGGCAGACGTGTAGCATGCTAAACTGACACGTGGTGGACAAGAATGACCGGTCTGTGACTGGTCTGACGCCGGTCGCGTCATCGGCAGACAACCGTGCTCCCACGATGCATCTGCCTCCGGTGGAGTGGAGGTAGGTATGACCCATCTCGTCGGATGGTCATTTGGAAAGCAGCCATGGCAAATCTCCGCCCATTAATGAGGGAGTAACAGGGAGATCCCCGGTGTCAGGCGAGTGACGGCGCTGAGCCTCACTCAAGGACAAGTTGTGATTTAGCTTCCAGGCGAAGGTGCAAGCCAAGTTTGGGTCAAGATAGGCTAGATCCCCACCCAGAAGAAAAGTAGGTAGAAGTGGTGCATGTGGTATCCCCTTGAGATATAAAAGGAGGACCTTGCCCACCAAAAAAAAAAGAAAAGGCAGAAAGGGGGGGGGGGGCGAGAGGGGTTCTGGAGCCTGAACTCTCTGGCTCTCCGGCTCACTGTAACTCCTTCACACACAGATCCACCAGAACACAGGAGTAGGGTATTACGCTTCTCAGCGGCCCGAACCTGTCTACATCGCCCGTGTCTCATGCACTTGCTCTCTCGCGAACCTTCCCCAGATCGATCGAGGGCGAAGAACCTCACTTAGCGCCCCCGGCCGAACCGGCAAAGGGGGGCCTGCGCGGTCTCCCGGTGAGGAGCTCCACGCTCCGTCAACATCGCAGAACAAAGAGGAGTTGTGGAGCTCCAGTCCGCCTTATTGAGGAATGTGATATGGTTTATTATGCTTTTAGTTGTGCAGAACAGGTGGAGAATACTCTTGAGCCAGCCACATACACTGAAGCTGTTGTCTCTAGAGACCGTGAGAAGTGGATCTCAGCTATGCATGAGGAGATGCAGTCTCTTGAGAAGAATGGCACATGGGAGCTTGTGCACTTGCCAAAACAGAAGAAGCCTGTTCGTATTAAATGGATCTTCAAGAGAAAGGAGGGTTTATCTCCTAGCGAGCCTCCGAGGTTTAATGCAAGGTTAGTAGCAAAAGGTTTCAGTCAAATTGCTGATGTTGATTATAATGATGTGTTCTCTCCAGTTGTAAAGCATAGTTCAATTCGCACATTCTTCAGTATTGTTGCTATGCATGATCTTGAGCTTGAGCAGTTAGATGTGAAGACAGCATTTTTACATGGAGAGCTTGAGGAGGAGATATACATGGACCAGCCAGAAGGGTTCATAGTGCCTGGTAAGGAGGATTATGTTTGCAAGTTGAAAAGATCTTTGTATGGTTTGAAACAGTCTCCTCGTCAATGGTATAAAAGGTTTGATTCATTTATGTTGTCACATGGCTTTAAGAGGTCTGAATTTGATAGCTGTGTGTATATTAAATTTGTTAATGGATCACCTATATACTTGTTGTTAGTTATATGTTGATGATATGCTGATTGCTGCCAAGAGTAAGGAACAAATCATTACATTGAAGAAACAGTTGAGTAGTGAGTTTGATATGAAGGATCTTGGTGCTGCTAAGAAAATTCTAGGTATGGAAATCACTAGAGACAAAAATTCTAGTTTGTAATTTCTTAGTCAGCAAAGCTACATTAAGAAGGTTCTTCAGCGTTTTAACATGCATGATGCAAAGCCTGCTAGTACTTCTATTGCTCCTCATTTTAAATTATCAGCTTTACAATGTGCTAGTACTGATGAGGATGTAGAATACATGTCTAGAGTTCTATATTCTAGTGCTATTGATTTTTTGATGTATGCCATGGTTTGCTCCCGTCCAGATTTATCTCATGCTATGAGTTTGGTTAGTAGATACATGGCTAATCCTGGTAAAGAACACTGGAAAGCTGTTCAGTGGATTTTCAGGTATCTCAGAGGCACAGCTGATGCTTGCTTGAAGTTTGGCAGGACTGATAAGGGGCTTGTTGGATATGTGGATTCTGATTTTGCTGCAGATTTGGATAAGAGAAGGTCACTCACGGGTTATGTGTTTACCATTGGCAGTTGTGCTGTGAGTTGGAAGGCAACATTGCAGCCTATTGTTGCCCAGTCTACCACTGAAGCAGAATACATGGCTATTGCTGAAGCATGTAAAGAATCAGTTTGGTTGAAAGGATTGTTTGCTAAGCTTTGTGGAGTTGATTCTTGCATTAACTTGTTTTGTGACAGTCAAAGTGCTATATGCCTCACTAAAGATCAGATGTTTCATGAGAGGACAAAGTACATTGATATCAAGTACCATTATGTTCGCGATGTAGTCGCGCAAGGTAAGCTGAAGGTATGCAAGATAAGTACTCATGATAATCCTGCTGATATGATGACAAAGCCTGTTCCTGTTGCTAAGTTTGAGCTTTGCTCAAGCTTAGTTGGTATAGTGGTTTAGCCCAAGAGGCTATTTGGCGCCGAAAGTGTTTTTGTCTTTGTTGTGTTCAGGGTGAATGATTGTTTCATGCTACAAGAAGGAATTTGTCTCAAGGTGGAGTTTGTTGAGTTGTGATCCAAATTCATTTGCACTTAATAAAGGCCAGCTTCTGCCGTAGTGGAGCGGAGGCCCGTCGCCGGTAGGCTCACCATATATATACCTCTTGTAAGCCGCCGTGCGGCGATGTAATCTCACCTCAGATATAGTGAAGATATTTTGCTGGCTGGCGCCCGTGGTTTTTTCTCTCCTGTTTTGGGAGGGTTTTCCACGTTAAATCTCGTGTCTTCTGTGATTGATCTTTTGTTTTTTATCGTTTGTTCGCCTATCGTTTCCTAACATGTTTGTGTGTGCTAAATAGATTAGTCCATTGGTTTAACTGGACTTATAAAAATGTCAAAAGGTTAATAATGACCTACTCGAGGACAGAGTTGAAACCCAAGAGTATCTAACGAGTATATTGTTCTATGAGGTCTTTATTAACTTCTGCTTTGGTAATTAATCACACCCCGAGAACTTCACCTCTCTTATCTATTTGAGCACCCTCTCGCTTCTCACTGTATGATAGTGCCCTTATTAGTTTGTTTTGCAGTTGAACTCAGATTGCACTTGATCCTTAATTTATAACGCATCATCCAAATTGTTAGACCGTTTTAGTATATGATATATAGTTAACGCATCATCCAAATTGTTAGACCATTATTGTAGTATAGGATAGTAAGAGGAATATTAGGATAGATTGAATTGTATTTTTATCTTCCTCATTTCCATTCCTTCCTTATCTCTATCTATTATACTCCCTCCGTATTTTAATGTATAACGTCGTTGACTTTTTAACCAACGTTTAACCATTCATTTTATTCAAAATTTTTATGCAAATATGCAAATATTTATGTTATGCTTAAAGAACATTTGATGATGAATCAAGTCACAATAAAATAAATGATAATTACATAATTTTTTAATAAGATGAATGGTCAAACGTTAGATAAAAAGTCAACGGCGTCATACATTAAAATTAAAATATGGAGGTAGTACTATATTTCAGATTTCAGGGGAACATAAGCACTATCAAGCAAATGGAGCCGATCATCACATATGTCCACGCCGGCCGCCCTATATATATATTTTGAATATTATTCTTTAACTTCCCACAATGAAATGTTCAAAAGGTAAAAAAAAATTCAGTTGTACAAAGCTTACTTCCAAACACTTCAGCCCCATGTTTATTCCTTTCTAAATCTCACCTTTCAGTCAACATCGACAAAAAATGAAACCCTTGAAAACAAGGATAGGATCGATAGATTTCTCTTTGGAAGTATTAAGAAAGAAATGTTCCTTTTACATCAACGAGAGAAAGAACTGTTCATGAAAGAAGGACGAGATTTAATTACTTTCAAACATGCCATATTACAATACTAGATTCTAAAATACATGCATGAAACATAAATACCAAACAAAGGTGGGTCTTCAAAGCTCTCACTACTACACCACCATTGAAGCAATTACATTGAAGCAATTACATGTTCAAGCAAATCTGTCATACATGACTTATTTAGCACACACAAACATGCATATTATGTACCATTCAACTGCTTCTTAGTACCAACCACCACCACCATATCCTCCACCGTAACCCCCACCACCACCGTATCCACCTCCGTATCCACCTCCGTATCCACCGCCATATCCTCCACCCGAACCACCGTACCCGCCACCATACCCACGTCCATATCCACCGCCGTAGCCACCACCATACCCAGGATGACCATATCCTCCACCGTACCCACCACCGTACCCAGGACGACCATATTCTCCACCGTACCCACCACCATATCCATATCCTCCACCAGGGTAGTATCCACCTCCCCACTTTTGATCCTCAACCCCTGGCCCTCCCGTAGGTTTTACATTCTTTCCCTCAGATTCTGCATAGAAGAAAAACTATCTTTTAGTAATCAAGCTTAATCTAGATATATACAATTCACATCCAAACATAGCAAACAGCATCAACACATGAATTGGTCTTGAAAATATAATTCGATTGCACTACAAAAATCCGTAATTCTTTTGGCGGCCAACTAATTTCTTTGGTGGTAAAAGAACAACCGCCAAGCTTAAATATATTCTTTGCGGTTCTAATTAGCTGCCAAATAATTAATGGCTCAGAACTTTAATGCAATTCATTGGAGGGAGGGCATGGAGAGAGAGATAGAGATCTGTGCTGCAAACCATTGGCTTCAGTGAGCTCTCTTGCATGAGCTACATCATCCAGGGAGAACATGAGCAGGGCAGCCAGGAAGACACCAAGGACAAGAAAATTCTTGAGAGCCATTTCTGACGATGACCAGTTTGAGCCAGCTAGCTTGCCTGTGATGAGATGATCGTACTCCACATTGTGCTCTATTTATAGGCTCAGCAATGGATGCATGCAATATAACCCCTGTTGCTATCAATGGATTAATGGAATGGACCAAAATTTCTACTATATTCAATATCTATTGCACTAATACAGTTGGACGTTAGAACTAAGATCGAGCTGTATTATCTTTCATCATCATCTTAATCAATTCCTATAGCCAGTTGAGTACTGAGGGTGCTGACCTTTATTATCTGTGGATTTATTATTTATTAAGATCACGGAACATATCTTCATTGTATGCACTCAACGAGCTACTAACAAATCAAACGCTGCTACTTAAGAAACACAACAATCTGTAGGGTATTTATAGGTAGTAGAATCAATTTATGGTCTTTTTTTTTTAACTAGGAGAGCATATGAGCTCCCCCATTTCCATTAGCAGAAATACAGAAACTACAGAGTATTCAGGAACAGAAGAAAAGAAAAAAAACATATTATTCTTCCCTCCACTCACCAGGTGCCATCACACATTCCCACCATGGGTGGGAAGAAGGTTCGGATGAACATTTTCCCAACCCATCTCTCTTGTTTTCCGCGCGCACGCCTTTTAAACTGCTAAACGGTGTAGCGAAAAGTTGCTTAAAAAATCAAATTAATCCATTTTTTAAAAAAAAATAGCAAATACTTAATTAAGTAGGTAGAGTTTTAACACACTAAAAAAACATAGTTGCAACACTCCCAGGAGGATAACCAACAGGCTTCAGACTACCATAGTGAGACAAAGGCTTTGATTGTCCACAGCAAAAGAGGAGCAGGTTTTCAGAAGCAATTCGAGAGGGAGCTGCAGCATTCATCCCATCAGTCTTCCTGCCTTGAAGATCCATCCATACTTAGCATTGTAGATCTCATTTGCCACCCGTATTAGCACTTAGCAGTTGTCCCCCCCCCCCCCCTCCAGCAGTCTTCTTGTTTCTTCCTCAGTCTGTAAAATTGCCAATACAGGCATACAGTTAGCCACCTGTATGAGCTTTTTTAAGGTCTTAATTAATGACTTAGATTATCTAATGGCGCAGGCAGTTGGGCAATATTGACACGAACGTGCTAGAAACTCTAGTTTGCCTACCCTGCATGGAATTGAACCGTTAGATATATTTGACTCAAAAAATGGAACTAAGTCATCATCTTCATTTGACAATGTATGTGTTCTACGGTACAAGTCCACGAAAAGGATAGGAGACAATTCCAGTGAAGAAGATATGCAGTGATAATCATTGAGCAGTAGCTTGCTAGGAGTAAGAAGTAGTATATGCCACTGATGCCTAACATTGATGGTGTTTACTTTTATAATTGACTTCACATAACGATTTGTCTGTGATCTTGATCACAAATTAAATCCAGTGATGAAGTCAATATGCCCTTACTCATGATTATTTTTGTTTTTTTTCCCTTTAACCTTTCTGACGAATGCCCAGCTCACTCAATTGGCTATAGGATTGAAGGCAAATTGAGATCAAAAGGACAAAAACATATATTCAAAAAGAGAAGCTTGAGGTGTGATCGGATGGATATGTGATGTTGGGTGTGGGTGCTTATCGGAGTAGTCAGAGAATAACTATTAGAGGGCTTTTAGACTTATACACTATCGATATTAATTGTTGGGTCTCAACTACCCGTTTTAGTAGGACACCAACTAAATAGGACTGACAATAGGACTCGTATTATAAGATTAATTTTTAAACCTTGTTAAAATTTATGTAAACTAGAAAATTACGTGTTGCAATGGGTGAAGGCTATTTTAATTTTATTATAGTTATATGGTTTAGTTAAGATAAAATTCACTTTGAGAATTCGCCTGGATATATATTTTTTCTAGAAAATCATGAGCTACAATTAACAGTCCAATCATCTCAAGTTAGCATGTAAGTTTTTCTAAAGAGATTTCTTATAAAACTGCTCCTGTATTTCTAAAAACAAATGAACTTAAAACCCGACCCAAATACATATATGTATTTCCAAAAGCGAACAAATTTAAAAACCAACTCATACACGGATTACGTACCAAAGTACCAGCAAAAACATCTTCAATTTTTATAATAGTTTCACTGTGAGAATTCGCTTGGATATATATTTTTCTAGAAAATCATGAGCTGCAATTAGGAGTCCGATCATCTCAAGTTAGCATCCAAGTTTTTTTAAATAGATTTCTTATATGACTCTTCTTGTATTTCTAAAAACGAACGAATTTAAAAACCGACTTATACACGGATGACGTACTTAAAGTACCGGCAAAAACATCTTCAATTTTATAATAACTAGAAAAAATACCCGTGTGTTGTAATAGATAAAGACTCTTTTTCGGTGATACAACAACTATGAGAAGCCGAACAATAAATTGAAATATTGGGATCACTATACATTATAATTAAAAATGTTAATGAATATCATTTCTTAGTTTTGGACCGAAACGTTATTCCTTCCTTTCCTTTTCTACCCTAGCCCAGTTCAATACCTCCCTACGCTCGGCATGTATCTCTTCAGCCCAACACACAAACGGACCCAAGTCACAAGCTCAAGTGGAGTCGTAGGCCCAACTCACATTGCCTTGTTGGATGTTCAACCTCCGGAAGACATCCCATGCATGCATGATGCCAGTGCCGATCCTCATCATCAAATCCGGCTGAATCTTTTTCGATCTCCTAAAATTGGTTGAGGGCTTTTGACCACTCGATCACCTCTTTCCGCAGGCAAATCTATATCGCAGTGGCGCTAGGGTTTGGCCCGGGCCCTAATAGCGGTGAAAAAGGGCGATCGGATCAAACCAAGTGGAAAAATACGGTGATGAAAAAATCGGATGGATAAAAACAGAAGCCTAATCGGACATATAATAAACCGGCGAAAAAAATAGACGGACAAAAAAATATTCAATTAAACCGAAAATCGATTCAAACACGGATGACGTACCAAATTGAATATAAAATAAAATAAATTTATATGTACTTATATTTTCATTTGTTGGCGAAGGAGCACTCGATCGATCGATCAGACGCCTGCCATTGACGATATAATACTTCTCTAATTGATGTGTGAGTAAGTACGTACGTACTAGCTAGCTAGTCTACTGTGTATCAGTGCATCTATTCCATTTTTGCCGACCATTAATTTCAAGGAGCTAGCACATATACATCAGTCATCGAGTATACGTACTCAGTCAAGCACAGCACTCTGCATGCAGTTGAAGATTGATTTCCGTCCTCTTCATGAATTGAATACGTATTACCGAGGACTGAAAAATTATCGAATTAATTAAGTCTTGGTTTGACAATGCAAATACGTACATCTCACTAGTGGACTACATCTTTCTGATTATTAATTAGCATAGAAGCTCCTAGAAAATGTCCAAATGTCTACACATTTAAAATGAGGTAATATCTGGGGTGGTGAATATGTGATCTCATCTACAATAATTTCAATACTCTTTTTTTAGGGAAATATAATACCCATTTAAAAGAAGTGGTGATGGTGTGACACTGAATGTATCACTCACTTATTGTCACTGTAATACACCTTTAAAAGAACGCAACGTATTTGCGGTGGTAGTGAATCTGTCACCCCACATGCTCCATTGTAATACACATTTAAAAAGAAGCAGTCGTGGTAACAGTGAATCTATCACCCGCCTGCAGATCACCCTTGTAATAGCCAGATACAAAATCACATTATCATAAATATTCCTTATAGAAAGAAAGAAGAGTAACATATTTTATGAAATATGGAGGATATATTTTTGTTCAGTTTTCATACATTATTATAATATTATAATTTACTTTGTCAAGGAGTGATCCTCTCTAACGGGTGATCGAGAGATCCCCTTTTGTGAGTTCGGCCGGAGGAAAGGGCTCGCTGATCGAGATCGTGTATCCGCCTGGAGTTCCGCGAGATTGCGCGCGGGTGCCAAGATTATACAGGTTCAGGCCGCTATGGAGCGTAATACCCTACTCCTGTGCGTGGGATTTTTGGCTGAGTGTACAAAGGTTCCTAAACCCATGGAGAGCACTCTCGCTCTTCCTCTCCTAGGGTTTAGGCTAACTGAGAGTCGTCCCTTTCCTAGGCGCGCAAGGTCCTCCTTTTATAGTTCAAGGGGTTACCACATGCACCGCCTCTACCTACCCCTTCACGGGAGGGGGACCCATTCTACTTAGACCGGACCACGATCCGTGCCTTCGCCTGGAAGCTAAGCAGTCATCCGTCCTCGAGTAGGGCCCAGCGCCGCCCCCCGCCTGACACGGGGGACACCCTTGTCATTCCCTCTTAAATGAATGAAGACTTGTGGCGGTCCTTCTCACGTGGAGGGGGCTCTAGATGATGACGTTTGATGGGACGGGGCATACCTGCCCCCACTCCGCCGTGTACAGGGTAGAACGTGGGGGCACTACCGCCCGTCCGATCGGACGTGACCGGCGACAGGCCGGTCATAGTCTGGTCACGCCTGATTGACATGGGTCAATCGGGCAGCACCGCACGTCCGCCCTCACCGCATTAAATGCGGTGAGGGACGGTTGGGGCGCCACGCATTGATGGCGGTTCGGCCTAAGTCTCCGCCCCACTCGTTCCCCTCGCCACGTGGCAGCTGGATGAGGGCCTCGGGGCGAGGCAGCACGAGGGCCTGAGGGGGGTGACGTGGCACCCCGAGGCCCCCCCGCTGCCTCCGCGTCGTCTGAGGTGTGGGGGGTGGGCCAGGCTGTAGGGCCGCGTGGCTGGACGGGATGGTAACTCCCCCGTACTTCGCATACCCCGGGCCCATATCACTGACATACTTTATCAGTAACAAAGCATGGAAATTCTAGTAGTTATTGATAGATGGAGTAATAGATTTTCATTTAAATTACTGCATAGATTCCGGGGTGGACCAATAAATAATCTGAGACCCAAAGTTTCGGCCATCTCATTGCACAGGTTGGATCAAACTAGCTCGTAGTGGTACAGTGGAAATTTGGAGTATGCAATGACCCATTTGTCCTTACTCATTTGGCCATGGCGCAGCAGCTTGTGTAAGGCCTGGGGTTCCCATATATATTCCGTTTTTACTAAGTGAAACCCACAAGCATTCCATATATTTATTAGCATGTACTCCCTCCGTTTTAAAATGTTTGACACCGTTGACTTTTTTAGTACGTGTTTGACTATTCGTCTTATTCAAAAAAATTAAGTAATTATTTATTCTTTTCATATCATTTGATTCATTGTTAAATATACTTTCATGTACACATATAGTTTTACATATTTCATATTTTTTTTTAATAAGACGAACAGTCAAACATGTGTTTAAAAAGCCAATGGTGTCAAATATTTTGAAACGGAGTGAGTAGTAGTGTACTGCTGTCTTTATTACAATGTGCCAATGGAAATTTGAGTTTGCCTACACGTGCTTAGTCAAGTACAAATGCATCCAGCAATTAGGAACTGATGAATAAGCCGGCCGGTGTATATGTGTCAAGGATGCAAGAGGTAAAGAATTGTACTGCTAAGTTTCTCTTGCACTAACAGAGACTTGATAAGCATCCGTCAAAAATTTAAACCTTATCTCGCTCAGTATGTGTGTCTTCTTAAATATTTGAAATTGGAGAAAAGAATCATATACACAGATCTTTATATATCTTGAAAAGTGATTTTGTAGAATCCCATTAAAAAATTAAAGAGTTTTATAATGAATGAAATTAGAGGATCAACGATGTATTTAAAAATATTTTCAATGTCTAATACAACATGTAACTATGTATTTTTTAAATTTCTCGATCTCAGGAGTAGTATACTAGCTAGCATGATGCATGATACTTCCTCTGTCCTCTAAGTTTATTTTTAGCTCATTTTATTTATCCCAAAATAAGTTTACTTTTAGAGTGATCATTACGTCGAAGTTTGTAAAAGTAAAAATGTATTAATTGAATTCGGAGTATACAAAGTAATAAATCGCATCGAGATGATAAATTAGGGGTATTCTAGTTTTTTATTTGTATTGATATGTATGCAATATGTGAAAAATAAACTTATCTTGAGTTAGACGGGGGTAGTACCGCACAGCAAACTGACCTTGATTTCACCAGCCGAACGTGTGAAATAAAATGCACGGCTTGTGATGGCTCATATGCAGTAGAGCAATTTTTTTATAGTACTCCTATGATGTATGCTAATCTGCAACGGTTTGTACTAATAAATTGTCGTAACCGTTTGTTTTTCTAATAATAGAATATAATCCCGGCCTTTACTCAAAGTTACAAGCAATTATTACAGCAATTCAACAAAACACATGCATAAAGAAACAAAAGCACACACAAACTACTAAAAACTTCCACAACATAACAAGATCACAAAATTATTAAATTCTATTTGTGAATCTCCATCCAAAGTTAGTGAATAGTTGCACAACCATTGACTCAAGTTTACGACATACAGCTTCCACTAACTTGATTTCTTCATCATAATTTAATAGTTGAGCCCAATACCGAAATCAGTATGTTGCCCTGAAAAGAACCTGTATATATAACATAGATGGTGATTTTGTCAAAAACCATATCATTAATACACAACCATATAGCCCAACATATAGCGCATGCTCCAACAAGAATAAGTTTGCTAGTATTTTTTTTATCAACCCCCACTAGCCAATTTAAAAAATATGAGATATACTATGAGAAGTATATAAACCAGTAGTAAAGTGGAGAGGCCTCCAAAGATTTTATGCAAGAACAACATTTCAAACTACCGTGCCAATTTCTCCTACATAAATTGTCCTTTATTAAAACAACCATTTAGGTACGTACCACATAAAAATCTTGATCTTAAGAGGTATCTTAAGTTTTCATATAATATTTTTTCTCTCAATGTAGCAATTATTATTTAAAGCGAAGTACATAGACCGAACCGAGAATTGACCATTTTGATGAAAATCCATCTAAATATATCATTCTTCTCTGTCAAATGAATATACACAATTGAAGCACATAAATTATGCTAATTATTTAAATTATGTCTTACTAAAGCTCACCTAAAATAAACATTCAGTGGAACAAAAGATATAACATTTGCAACTGAGGAATTTCTCCTACGAACTATAGCATATAATAACAGGTACCTATTTTTAAAAGAATAGTTCCTAACCCATTTAAAAGAATATAACCGTTTGTTTAACTGTTAGAGATCATATATCGTTACTTCGAACCGTTACGAACATTAAAGATTGCTGTTTATGCAGTAGTAGTGTTTGCTTAGTGACGGGAGCCCTTCTCGACACTGAGGCTGTCCGCTCGATTGAGATGGCCTGTCCCGTGCTAGTGGCTGTTAATTAGTAGCACATTGAATGCATGCAGAACAATCTATTCTGGCTCTCAATAAGAGTACATCCACAGATAATAAAGGTCAGTACCGTCACTACTCACTACTCCCTCCGTTCAAAAAAAGACATATTCTTTGTCTAGATTCGTTGTACTAGGATATATCACGTCGTAGTACGAGGTTGATTTTTTTTGGACGGAGGAAGTACTCAGCTGGCTATATGAATTGTTTAAGATGATGATGACAGATACCAAAGTGCAGCTCAATCTTCATCCTAACGTCCAACTGTATTAGTGCAATACTCCTTCCGTCTAAAAAAAAAGACAAACCCTGGTTTCCGTGTCCAACATTTGACCGTCCGTCTTTTTTGAAAAAATTATGAAAAAAAATTAAAAAAACAAGTCACGTATAAAATATTAATCATGTTTTATCATCTAACAACAATGAAAATACAAATTATAAAAAAATTTCATATAAGACAGACAGTCAAAGTTGAACACGGAAACCCATAGTTTGCCTTTTTTTTAAACGGAGGGAGTATATAGATATTGAATATAGTAGAAGCTTTTGTCCGCTCCATTAATCCCTTTGATAGAAACATGTATATAGCAATATAACGCATGCATACATTGCTGACTGCCGAGCCTATAAATAGAGCATACTAGTATGATCGCCACATCACAAGCTAGCTATCTAACTGATCATCAGAAATGGCTTTCAAGAAGTTTTTTCTCCTTGGTGTCTTCCTGGCTGCCCTGCTCATGTTCTCCCTGGATGTAGCTCATGCAAGAGAGCTCACTGAAGCCAATGGTCTGCAGCACAGATCTCTATCTCTCTGATATCTCCCTGCCCCCCTCCAATTGCTTGCACTAAGCATTAAGCCATTATCTATTTTACTGTGATAAGCAAAACACAACAAAGAATTACATTTTCTGATGAGGGAATGTTAGGTCCCGATATTTTGATAGATATTGATAAACAATCGATTTGGGCAGAGTCACGACACAACTCAATCCGGCTTCTGAACGAACACGCTACTAAGCCCCGTAATCGCAGCACCACGTCGAAAACCGGTTGACCTCGCCTAGAAGGCTAATCCCTACATGCGAATCGAAGAACACAAGCAAGAACAAGATAGATTGCAACACAATTGCATATGAATTATTAAGCACTCGAATTTGGGGTTCCACAAATCGATCTAGCAGCAAAACTGTTCTTGACAGAATAATCTAAGCAAAACCTGACTCTAAACGATGACGGCAACTGAATAAAAATGATTAGGGACGTCTTAGGGTTGTCCTATGGCGCACACCCCCTTGGGTTAAGCCCACGACAAAATAACAAGACCCAAAACACAAAATAGATTCGGACTGGATGAGATACGTGGCTTATTTTGCAGATTCCCGATAGCTCGATAGGAATTTTGATGTGGGACCAAAACCATATGAAATTAGACTGTATAAGCTTTCCAACAAGTACTCATGGGCCCCAAAATTCCTTCTAGATCAACGGCCAGGTCCGTTTGAAGTTGATGCTGTCAGGAGGCCTGAATCCGAATCCAAAACATGTAGAACTTTATCTCTTATCTTCTATGGACCAAATGTGACGTGGTGAGATGGAAGTGAACTTGGAGAAGGTCTTGGTTTGGTCCCCAATCAACTTCTTCAATCATCCATGCATTCCTTACGCTCGGTCTCTTTTCTTTCGCCCAAGCAAGTACCTCTGCAAATGAAAACACACAAAACTCATTGTGTAGTAACGTTTGTTCAAATATATAACAAGTAAATCTAATGTAGAACATATGCACCTTTGGTTGATTAATACATAAGGTAGTCTTGGTTATATCCGAGATAGTTGTGTCCTCATCATTTTGAATGCTAATCTATGTGTTCATGCGGTTTGCTATGTTTGGATGCGAATTGTATCTAAGTTAAGCTTGATTACTGAAAGGTAGTTTTTAATGTATACAAAATCTGAGGGGAAGAATGTGAAGCCTACTGGAAAGCCAGGGGTTGATGATCAGAAGTGGGGAGGTGGATACTACCCTGGTGGAGGATTTGGATATGGTGGTGGGTACGGTGGAGGATATGGTCGTCCTGGGTATGGCGGTGGGTATGGTGGAGGGTATGGCTATCCAAGGTACGGTGGTGGTTATGGCGGTGGATATGGATGTGGGTATGGCGGCGGGTATGGAGGTTACGGTGGAGGGTATGGTGGTGGGTATGGAGGTGGATATGGAGGTGGATACAGTGGTGGAGGTTACGGCGGAAGATATGGTGGTGGTGGTGGTTGGCACTAAAAGTAGTTGAATAATATACATGTTTTGGTGTTAAATAAGTCAAGTATGACAGATTTGCTTGAATAATGTAATTGCTTCAATGCTAGTATAATAGTGGGAAGTTTGAAGACCTACCCTTTTTGATGTTCATGTATTCTAGATTTTAGTATTGTATCATGGGATGTTTGAAAATAATTACGTGTTGTCGAAGGAAAAATAATGGTTCTTCCTTAAGCATGTGTTTGGTTGGAGGGATTTCGAGGGTTGGGTTCAGTTGAACCCATTTTTATAGGCATTTGGTTGTGGGGTTAGATGGGATGGGTTGACTCGAAAAGGGAATATCCCCATCATATTCGGGTTTGGCTCATCCAAAAAAACTGGAAGCCGTGTCGACCCACCTCTCTCATGTAGGTCACATGAGGAGCACGCGCCCCGGGGGACACAGCCATCGCATCACATTGCACCAATTCATCCATCCTCGTCTCACCGTTTTCCCCGTCTCTCCACCAAATCTATGCCCACAAGAGGCAGCGGCGACCGGGCGTGCGCTCCCAAGCCGACGGTTAGCTAGCAATATGAGAAGGGGCCAAACTATGTGCTCAACTTTGGGTTATTCAGTAGGTAATGTCACTAGTTCTATGTGAGAATGTATCTATATCCAGTTATCCCACCTCCATGCGTCCATCCAAACATGTGATTGGATCATTCCATCTTCTTATTTCCCTCAAATCAAACAAAAAAATAGGCTCACTTCATCCCTTCAACCAAATAGAAAATAGACTCATCATATCCCAAAAATTAGGGATGGTCCTAACCCATCCTACCTCGTCCCAAACCAAAGACATGCTAAGTCTTTCAAAGAGGGTTCTCTCACTCCTGTGTTTGTTTGCTTGAGTTCCATATTTAATGTTTTTTTCTGAGAAGTGAGAGTTGGAAAGGATTGCATGGGTCAAAGTTTTTGGAAGTAAGCTATGTACAACTGAATTTTTTTCCTTGTGTACATTTCATTGTGGGAAGTTTAGGTGATGATCATCACCTTGCTTGATATTCCTTCTTGCCACTCTACAATGAGTCAATGATGGATATGACAAATAAAAGCTAACAACAAAAATGAAAAGAAAAAGGCCCACCCCAGTGATATTGCTCATCCTGGTGGTAGCGGTGGCAAAAGCGCGAGAACCGCTAGATCGCTTGCTCTAATACCTTTGAAGGGGAAGAGTTGTACTAGTGCATGTGGTTCGATGTCTCGGGTCTCGTCTCAAGGCTGGTATATAAATAGAGTACAACACGTACAGATAACGAAGGAATGGAAATGATGAAGACTACTACAAATCAATCTATCATAATATTCTTCTCATGAACATATGTGCTACCAGTTTGGATGATGCATTATAATGGATCGAATGCAATCTGAGGTCAAGTACAAAGCAAGCTAATAAGAGTACTGCCCATTCAGTCAGTGTTGTTGGCACCATTTGGGCATTGATTGGAATGCTAATCTCAACTTCACCCAAATGATTGTACTGGCTAGAGTTCATTTTAGGCATAAGGGTTTCTTGGAAATTCTCTTTATTACTTGTTGGCATATTTGGAAGAAGAGAAATATGCTTATATTTTAGAATATACAACCGACTTTTGAAGCCTGAAGAATCCAATTCAAGAAGAGATTCTTCTGCATATGTGTAGAAGGAAAGATCCTTTAAAATAAATAAATAGTGTTTGATTGGTTACAACTTCTGTAATCTTCTTGTATTGCTTCTTTATTTGTAAATAACTTTTTTGGTTTATAAAATTTAGGCTGCTCGGCAAATGCCTGGCAGTCATTCACTAAAAAAAACTAATAAGAGCACTGCCATATTGTGAGAAGCATGGTGCTCGAATAGATAAATAGGCGAATTTGGGTGGATGTGGTTAACTATAAAAGTAGAAGAAGAGAACAGAGGCCTCATAGAACAATGTACTCGTTAGATACCCTTGGATTGTACTCTCCCCTCGAGTAGGTTATTAATAACATTTTGGCATTTTTATGCTGGTCCTATTGGTAGTAGAATCAATTTAGGTATTTTTATCTTTACTCATGCAATAAATCATATCTATGTATACTATCACCACAACAACTAATATTAAAATACCTTTTTACCTATACTATAACTTATAAATAAATATGGCATAGGTTGTGTTTGATCCCTCATGTTCGTAACTGATTTGTCCTGCATGGAAAACGATGAATAGTTTTTGAGCTTAAAAAATATAAAAAATATATAAGCAACTCTTATAGATTTTCTTTAAAAAAACACCGTTCAATAGTTTGGTAAGCATGCACATAGAAAACAGCCGGTGAAAGCTGGTAAAAGAGGGAAAGAAGAGAAACATGCGTAGCCTTAGACTACTTCTGAAGGTGATAGTACTAGAAGTAGAATACAATCAGTAGAAATCACCATAAATGTTTTATTAACTAATATTTTTCTCTTCTTTAATATGTGCCATTTCACTGGCCTATATTCTGCCGTCCATTAATTTCAATACGTGTGTACTTAGTCAAGCGCAGCATGATTTTGTTTTGACAATGGAAATCGATCCAGCCCTTGTCAAGCACGTATAGAATGCAACATTCACAATCCGACGGACTTAATTATCCAACGACACGCAAGAGGGCAATATGTCACGAACAGCTACTAGAAACTTTATGTGCTTAACCTGTATGGAATTGAGATATATTTGACTCAAATTGTCGAACTATATCTTCGTTTGACAAATGTACGTGTGCTACGGTAGTACAAGTCCACGGATATTAGACAGTTGCAGTGAAAGATATATATGCACACAGATAATCATTGAGTACGTAGTCGTAGTAGCTAGCATTGCTGGTGTTTACTTAATTTGGTAATTGACTTTACATAACAATTTGTCGATGATCTCAACCACAAAATAATTAAATCAGTGATCGACGAAGGTCAATGCACTTAATTATCTTTTTCTTTCCTTTTTTCTTTTCTGGCGACTGCCCAACTGACTCAATTGGCTATAGGAATATAAGGATTGAAGGCAATCTGAGATGAGATAAAAAAAGACAAATTAAAACGAGAAGCTAGAGGTGTGGTCGGAGGTTTGGGTGGTTATCAACAGATTATTTAGAGAACAATTATTAGAGGGCTTTTAGTTAGGGAGACTCTACTTCTCTAGCTAGATACAATGGGGTCTCAAGTCTCAACTCTTCCATTTTGAGTGTGACACCAGCCGTTTTCATTTGCTAAATATGTAGTGATGTACCACTACTGGAGAAACCATATTTCGTCGGTCGTCCAAAAACCACAATAGTATCGGTTCGAATAGGAACCGGGACTAAAAAAATTTTGATCAATCGGGACTAAAGATCATTTTTAGTTCTGGTTAAAAGAAATTGCCAGGTTGAGTCAGGCTCCAATTAACTTTAGACCCGGTTGGTATAAACAACCAGGACTAAAAATATATCTTTAGTCCGGGATGTTTATCCCAATCGGGACAAAAATCCTTCCGAGCCACGTGCGCGCCAAGTCCTCTCTCTCTGGCCTTCCTCTCTCTTTAATTAGTACAGCCCTTATCCCTTACTCTCTCATCTCCTCTCTCATCTCGATCCAATCAATCTCCTCTCCCCTTCCTCCCCCTTCCCCTCTCCTCCCCCTCCCAGCCAAGTCCTCTCCTCTTAGTCTCTCTGGGTCGGCGGCAGGCGGCGGCCGGTCGGGGTCGGCGACCGCCGGGCTAGGGAGGAGTGCACGGCGGCCTCGCGCTCCCCTCCGCCAGATCCGGCGGCAACGGTGGAGCGGAGGGGATGGCGGCGGCGGCGGCGGCCAGCGGATGGGAGGGCAACGGCGGATGGGAGCGCGGCGATCGGGGTCGGAGGGGATGGCGCGGCGACAGGCGGATGGGAGGGCGGCAACGGCGGCGGCCGGCAACGCCCGCGTCCTCTCATGCAGGGATATTTGTCCTTTCTTTTTTTTTTTTGAAGAATTTGTGATTCATTGTGTAGATTGAGATGAAGAATTTGTGTTTCATTTGTACGGATTGAGATGCATAATTTCTGTTTTGAGAATCTGTGATTCATTGCATGGATCTGAAATGTATAATCTGTGATGTATTTGATTTGTAGTATTTGGTATGTTACTTTGATTTGGGGTTTAATTTGGGGATATGCATCCCACTCGATTTTGGAGAAAATTAGTTAGGGATTAAGTAGTAAGTAGCAATAAAAACAATGAAAAAAAAGAAAATGAAACTAACCGGGATTGCCGCTGGACTAAAGATCGATCTTTAGTCCCGGATTCGTAGTCACGGTTGAAAAACCGGGAATACAGGAGGTTATAAACTAGCATTAAAAATGATTTGTACATCAGTGTAAAATAATTTTTAAACGTTTAAAAAAATGTGTAAAATAGAATTCCGCACTGAACTCTAACATGAGATTTTGCACCGCATGGTTTAAAATATTTTTTATTATAAATTATAGAAATATTTTATATCTTCGGCCTTCACTGTTAGGTACACAAATTAATTAAAGCGATCAAAACAGTATTGTTGGTGAAGGAGCAATCGATCTATACTATCGGATGCCTAGCTATTGACAATATAACACTTTGACAAATTGACGTGTGACTAAGTACGTACTAGCTAGTCTACTATCAGTAGTACTGCATCTATTCCATTTTTGCCGACCATTTAATTTCTAGGAGGTATCATGTATACATCGGCTTTTTATTTCAGAGCATACTTGCATCGACGGGAAGTAATCGAGTACACGTACTCAGTCAAGCGCAGCACGCTGCATGCCGCGTTGAAACTTGATTTGCGTCACATTCATGCAGAGAATACTTACCTAGTAGTCACCGATCAGGTTCCGATTTTCCTGGTTTTTTGAAATTTTTTTAGTCTCTTCCATTGCTTGCCGCGTGTCCTGCTGATTTTTTTTTTACAATTTTCTACTGATTTGGTGACCGGTTGATTTCCTACTGGGGTGACGTATCCGGTGTATGTTACTGGTGGCCAACTTTCTTCACATGGTGCCCACGTACGTGTCGGTGATTTTTTCCATTTTATTTTACGTTGTGTTTTACTTAGCCGGTAACAGCCGGTTATATCTAAC